GACTGAACTAACAAGGTAGCGCTGCGGTCACAACCTCTCGCCACCGCTGTTAGCGCTGAACTGTGTTCCGTTTCTTGAATATTCGGAAAGCGGAGCCGAAATATATTTTCTGGTTATTGCTTGCTGTCTCTATGAGTAATCATAATACTTTGGTTTAAATGTAAATACTTGTAAATATCATGTGGCTGTAATTGTTCTAATGAACTAAAATCTGCTAAATAGTTAACTGTGCTTAAAAATTCGACTTTATCTCCTTTAACATACATTGTGGCATATTTGTCGGTTCCAAATGTTATGTTTATGTTTTTCTAAATTTTCATGTGATCTTCAACGGTGTGTTTAACTCATTTCTGTCTTTTGCAAATATTTTAAATCGTCCACAGACAACGCATGGTTGATGGTGGGCAGGGTTCCATCAATAAATTTGAAATCCGGCCCAGATTGATTCAGCATATGTGACAAAAGATTAATTGATAAGCAAAACCAAAGTGAACTTAATGTGTCACCTTGAAAAATACTACGCCGGATAGGTATTTGTTTGGATCTCATTATTTTGTAGTCTGTTTTCAACTCCTGTTGAGTCCGCCAATTGATCATTAAGTATTTATATCGATCAATAATTTTTTGACGAATTTCGGGCTCTTTTAAGTGCCAATCATGAGGAACCAAATCGTAAGCTTTTTTGGTTGCCAATCCAACTGACCGCTATATTTATTTTCTTCTATTTTGGTTGCCCAGTCACAAACATATCTATGATCAGTTGTTTTTTGCATCCCTGAGTACCATTCTGGCTTTCTTTTTGTTCTGTCAGAATTCTTTCAGAATTAATATGCAGTGTTACTTTTTGAGCAATTGTCGCGGAAATTATTTTGTGGGATTGGTTTCAGAATTCTGGGGTTTAGGAAGGAAACTGTCTGGCTAAGCAATAAAGGTACATCAGTTGGACTATCAAAGACCTCATTAAAATGCCAATGAGTGGTGTGTGCAGGTACATAAGGTACTTCGACCAGAAATTTTGAATTCCATCTTGTCCGACAGATTTCCAGTTATACATGAGTACGGGGGATATGCGGGTTTGGGACCAGAAAGTAAATAAAATAAGCCACTTCCGGTCCCAGACCCGCAACAACCGGCGTGTCAACAACCGACGCAACCAATTACAACGCGCCCGAACGCCTCCCGCCGAAGGTCAACATCCGGAGTCAACCCCCCGCCAACATTGCGGCTCTGGTGGCGAAGACTGGCGGTAGCACGCGCGCTCTGGTGGCGAAGGGCAGTAGCGTGTGCTACGGTGCGGAGGCTGTGAGACTTAAATTATCGCGTTTAAAAAACGTTTCCCGGACACAGGAAACGAGTCCCGGGGCGGCGAGCGCTCTAGCTCTGAGCTACGGCGACCGCGCTGACGTAGGTGCCTCATTGGGCATACTAATAATACGTGCGCGCCAGCCAGCCGCGCGTCTCTCTCGCGCTACACCAACAATGATGCTATCTATCCAATTCATAGCACACTCTTACACAGACGTCACGATATTCCTCTTACAAAACACACACAATCCTGTTTCAACGGCCGAGGTCCATTGTCGTGTTGAGCCTAGTGCTGTGTGCAGACGAGAAAAGCGACGGTTTGTCACGAAGAACAGTCGTTCCTCGACGGTGCGGCAGCGTCCTCTTTCGAGTAGTGTTGCGTGCAAGGCTGGTGGAGATAGATGCAAAAGCGACAATTCCGCTTCGACGGCGGCGGTCAGTCGATGCGCGTGAGTCCGCGATTCCAATGCTCTTTACACGAACGAAGTTCTTGAATACACGCTAGTTTTTAGATGTCTTCAGGGAGATTCTCGAAAACGCGCTCAACCTCGTGGGACGCGGGCCAATGACACAAAAATTCAACCGGCAATTGTCTCAATGTATCCGAGTCGAGAAGTGTAAGCTTGTAATCGGCTTCATGCAACTTTCTGAAAGCGCGCTCAATGTTTTCGCGTGACACTCGTCTGATCTCTTGTCTGGTGTGCTCCAATACTTCGGCAACGGAGCGGATGAGCGGTTGCATACGACGGAACACTCGACCTCGTAATGACAAGCGAAGCGGCGGAGAGTGCGATTATAACGCACAGGAAGTTGATAATCTTATCGTCCTTGAACGGAAGAGACCGCTTACACAATCTCCCTTTTCGACGTCTCCAGTTCATCATGCAATAGGTGCGGTCGATTTACACTAATCCAGTCGTACAGGGCGATGACGGGCTGCCCATCTTAGCTTAAGTCACCGCAAGCGTATAGTTCGTGGTACGCGCGTAAACACTCTTTCAGCGGAGGACACCCGATCGACTCCATATCGACTATGCGTTTTCCTTAGATATACTCCTGCAGCCACTCGTTCTTCTGTGCTCCCTTGACGTATATCGTTGTGACACCTTCAAAAGCTTTCATCATCACAAACGTCCTGTCTGGAAAATCGTAACGCCGGTTACTCCACGGCGGTATGTCGTGATGGCAGCTTTTGATCCATCACACTTGTCTCTTGTCGTCGCTGTTGAAAATATGGAAAGGTCGCGGCGGACGAAAGGTGAATTTCTGAACGAACCGTAACTCAGGATCGTCGTTGGCGGCCCGGATGACGGTTAGCACTTTGATAATGAATTGTCCACCTATCCAAAAACCCTGAAGATCAGCGACAGCTGTGAGCACACGTCTTCTTCTTCTATCGGATTCGTTTTCGCGCCACGGCGTGGTCGGTTGTGTTGTCCACAAAGTTTCGTTCTCCTCCTCCTCGTTCTCGTTTCGAAATGCTTTTTCTTCTTGTGGACTGTTTTGTTCAGGTGAAGAAGAAGCATTGTCTGGCTGTTCGTCTTCTTCTTCTTTCAACAGTTCGCATAAAGAATATTTCACGTAGCCCAACATGATCAAAGGAGCGCACACACGACACAACCCAATCAAGCACAGTCACAAAGAAAAACAAAATCGAACGTGGCATAACACAGCGCAATAATGTCTCGTTCATCGAGCACTGTTGCAGCGACTCGCTTTCGCACGCGAAAAGAGAGACTGATGATCGTCGTGCTGTCTTCGTCCTTCTTATACAAGACTGATGTCAGCGGACACGATATCTCGAAGCGTTCTTGTTTTATCGCGCGAGGCTATGACGCAAGTCTCTTTCTCTCTTAATCTTCAATCTTTAATGTCTCTCGCATACACCCACGAATTACGGCTTCAGGTCAAAACCGAGCCATTTCACAAGGCGAAGTGGACCATTTTTCCGAACGTCGCGCTGGACTAAATATCGATCGGGATATCGCATGCGATGCAATGCCTCGGTAAAGAAGCTACCCAGGAACGTTTCGCCTTGCAGGTCTTCTAGCGAGTATGTGACGGGATTCGAGAGATGCACACGAGAGAAGAGTTCAGTTCCCCATCGCGCTTCGTAACCTTTCCGAAACGGTGAGCTTATTTACGTGCTCACCCGAACGATGCCGCCAACTCCAAATCGATTTGTCCTCAGAAGACGCGGGTCGAGCGTTTTCACTTGCCCGTACACCGTGGCCATGAGTCTATCGTCCTTGACGTCCTTGGGCTTCATGCCGATTGTTCAACGTTTGGTATCGTTGTAATCTCAGAAGAGGAAGGCGAGCAAAAAGGTCCAGCGTCGCATCCCCTCGGCGGTAAAGTGCCTACATATTCCCTCCTTGAGCGTTCGAAACGTTCAACAACGACGGCTTTCACGTTGGAATAGGTGGAATAAAGATGATTGCCATGCTCTCGGAGCCACTTGTTGAGTCCGGTATTGTAAAACTCGGTGCCTTGGTCGGTTTGTAGGAATGGAGGCACTCGCCCGCTCGACGTAACGAAGCTGTTGAATGCCTTGACGACTTCCTCTCCCGTCTTTTTCTTTATCGCTTCCGCCCAAGCGTACTTGCTATACACGTCGATGACTCTGAGAATGTAACGCATCCCTCGATTGCTTTTGGAGTACGGTTGCATGTCGACCAGGTCGGCTTGCCATAGATCATCAAATCCTTTCGTTATCACACGCCGTCTCGCGTAACGTCATCAGGCAGGCGCATGCAATTCCGACGCGAGTCCTTGTCGAACAGTCGTCAACACTGTTGTTTTCATCTTCTGCATGGTCAGAAGCGCTAGCCGATAATACCGGCGTCACGGAATTTAACTTCCATTTCTACTATTTCACCATCGAACCCGTTGTTACCGGCGAGTTTCGAAGCGTAAAACACACTAAGGCTTCTCACAGGTGTTTTCGGATCGCGCCAATATTTGTAGTCTGGCGTTGTCACAAACGTAGAGCACTCCCTTTCTTCTTCTTCTTCTTCTTCTTCTTATTTCTTTCTGCAAGTCTTTTGCTTTGTTATTCCCCCCAGCGAAAAGATGTGAGATAATCGTACGATATTTCCATCGATTTCCTCTCGTGTTAAACGGAAAACTCGATTTGAAGTCTTTCTTTTCTGCGGACGTGAGTTCGAGAATTGTTTGACGGTAGTTTGGTCTTTTTTCCTCCTCTTTGAGGGTGGTGTTGCGCTTTCGAGACGGACGTTGTTAGATAAGTATCGAGTAATCGATTGCGCATCGTTTCGGCGTCTTTCAAGAAGCTCATTTTGTTGCGAATGTGTTCGCGTGATGGGTGAAAGGGGAGCGGGCGCTGAGGAAGGGCGAAAACGTGGTGTCTTTCCACGCAAGCTGTTTTTCGCTTTCTTAAGTGCATTCACCGTTTTCAAGTCTATGTTTGATCGTTTGTAATTTTTTTAGTCGTTTTACTGTCTACGTTTCTTCTTCGTCTTCTTCTCACGTTTTCGCGAAACCGTTTTATTTTTTTCACACGTCCTCCTGTTTTGGATTTCACTTTTATCACACTCGCCACACCGAGCGCGGCGCTCTTTCACCGACACTCTCGTCTCTGGACGTGACGCACTCCCGCGCTGTCTTGGCGAGCGCCTCGTGTGCCCTTTTGCGTTCCTCACCTCTTTTGAAGTTGTGGTAAGTGATATCGGGTTCACTACACGCTTCGTCCGAAGGATTAATACCGCGGTCGCCTCTTTGCAGTCTCTTCATGAGCTTTGTACCGGGCCCGCAAAATTGATATCTGTCGGGAAAGTTCGAAGGGCAGTTTGTCTATCGCCCGATTCAGCATCCGTCCTAATAATCCTCTTCCGCGATAGTGTCGCCCCCCTGTCACGTTCCCGCGACATTCAATTGCTGCATACCCTGGCTTAGAGTGAAGTCTATAGCGAAAGAAAAGATATTATATAACCTTAAAATCAGCACCACCACCATCGTCCGTCGGCACGAGAAACCGGTCGAAGTCCGATCGGTATCGACCGTTATGAAGCGCACTTGGTTTACATATCACCACAAAAGCAAAGCGGTCGGCGTTCTACACGTTAGAACACACCGCCTTAAAATCATTCAATGTTCGAAAATCGATTCCAACATGTTTTGTAGATAAATTAGAGGTTGTTATCGTCTTGCCTGAAGATGACAATCATATTCGCGTTATCGCGAATCAACTGCTTGGGAATTTTGGTGTACGTTTGACACAGATAAGGCACTTCTGTGTGTTTATTTCTCCGGGCTGCAATGTTAGATTAGATGCAGTCTTGTTTTTTGCTGCCAATGCCGAAAATGAAAACACTGTCGGGTGACGCCTCGGCTGGCGGCACGATCCTATGGTCTTGCGAAAACGAACGAAATAGAAGGAGTCCGTCGCAGACTTGTTTCAAGTACTTATATAAGGGCTGCGTTTCTCTCATGGAATATAAATACACGTTGCGGAACGCCAGTCCGAACTGTCTGGTGAGAAGCGAGACGACCACGTTTGTCTTACCACATCCGGAAGGTCCCACGATAAAAGCGTGCATGCTATCTGGGAAAAGCGGTCCGTGTCGACTCTTTTTCTCATCTTGCCCAGCCCTTGCGAAGAAAGAAAGAGACTGCATGACCTACTGTTTTTAAAATGCTACCGTCAAAGGGGGGGGAAAGATACCCTACTCAGATAAGAATAAGTGATAAGGATAAGAAATGAAAACAATACGAATAGAAATATATCATTTTATTGATAATTTAAAAAATACAAAGGTGAGACATTACACATGACTGTTATGGTTGTCTGTTGGAGTAGCCATCGATGTAATCGCCATCTGCACAGCTCTCGCTAACCATTTCGCTGTGTTGCGTGCGCATCCGCTGACGTCCAGCGGAAGAAGAAGATCGCAGCAGACGTATCCGGTGAGGTGAATGTCGATCGTTCTGTCGTCGTCTTGCGGCGTCGCGATGGTAATGTTATTTTGGTTTTTCGCTTTTTTGGATGGCCCTTTCTGGTTTTATTCTTCTTCTTTTTCGATGTACAATGCATCGGACAGGGATGACAGCATGCAGAAGGAAAATCGGGTGATGGAGACGCCGCTCTCACCTCCATGTCCTCCTCTATGTTTTTATTGATGTCCACAAAATCTGCGAGTTGCGAATCGCAAGAAGAAGACGAACCAACGTCGTTTTCGCCGGGCGAAGCAGATGGAACTTCTCCTTCGTTCATGATCTCCTGAAGGAAAGACACGGAATGATGATTGTGAGCGAAACACGCGACGTCTTATACGATCCGTTTTTCTTCACCACAAAGTCGTCGATTGGTTCATATTGCACTTCTGTTTAGTAGATATGACACAATACGCTGTGATGTCATCTGGCAGTGCTGTACCCATTTCGCCGCGTGATCTATTGTAGTAAGAACGTTTCGCTTTTTGCATCATTTCAAAGATATAAGGGTTCCATTGTTCATCGCGAGTATAAAATTTACATTACATTGAATTTCGGAATAAGGATAAAAATTGTCGTTAAAATACAGTTTTGCTCTTTTTATATCGTTACCATCGAATTCACCCGAATTCTGTATCAGGTCCCCGTCTTTCCCCTCATGCATCCCAAAGAGAATGTACAGGGCAAGGTTTCTTTTGCGGTAGTCTTCACCGTCCACTGAAACGGTCCCTTTCCTCCACTTGATACGTTGGTGTATTCGGAAAGTTCCCATCGTCTGATTTGCACGGGGTTCGGCCGCCGGCTGTCCAGCGTTCGTGTAACCACGAGGGAAGCAGCATCGCTCAGCGCCTAATAAGGCATTCTCCAAATCACGTCCAACACGGTAATCGTTGATTCGTCTGGTGTATCTTTTTTCGTCGTCAGACATCGACTATCGTGACGACCTCGAATGAGGGCGAGGCCGTGTTTCACACCAGTCATGAAACGCGTGTGATCTTCGAAAAATCCCATACACAGTCGCAATGGCACGACACTGTAAAATCTTCCGCCAGTCTTACTGAGCAGGAATTTGGTGTTTCTGTCGGCTGACTCGTATAATAGGTCTTCGGTACAACATGCGTTCTTCTTTCTGCTGGCGAAAGGAACAAACGTTCTTCATCGTGCTCGTGATGCCCGGATTTTCACAACGTCGACGATCACGTTGTAGATTTCGTAACGAATTTCGCTAAAAAGAAAGGCGAAACCGCTGTTGATCAAATCGCAGTTGGTGCGCTACGGTGTCCTTCTTAACCGCAGAACCAGCGGTGACGAGCGAATTCTCGCTAGGTAAATGGCGTCCTTATTCACGATAGTAATGCGAATTTCGTCGTTTTGACCAAATGATTTAATGTACGGAAAGTGTTCGTGAACAGCTTCGTTGACGATGTTGTGTTTTATATTCTCCTGTCGAGAAATGTCGATCGCGTGTTAGTCCACAAATTCCGTTGAAGAATGATGATTCTTCTTCATTTTCTTCGACATTTTTCGGTTTTCTTCTTTTTTAGAACAATACTGTAACCCAACGCTCGTAAGGTTTGTCGACTGGATGGTGTTAACGTGTCGAGCGGACAAAACACTGTTCGGTGTTCTTGTAGTAGAAA